AAACTCCTGGCTCCTGGCTTTGCATCAGCGCAGCTCCAGCCTTTGCAACCACTGAATGAACCAGCAAGTGGAAGACCTTTCTCTCTGTCTCTCCCTCTCACTGTCTGTAACTCTACCTCTCAAATAAATAAATAAAATCTTAAAAAATAAAATAGGATGGAGGAGCTGGTGTTTGGCATAGCACTTGAGACCTCACGTGGTACACCTGCATCCCATATTGGAGTGCCTGAATTCAAGTCTTGGCTCTGCTCTTGATTCCAGACTCCTGTCATTGTGTACCCTGGAAGGCAGCTGGTGATGGTGCAACTATTTAGGTCCCTAGTACCAATGTGGGAAACTCCCAGCTTTCATTTGGCCCAACCCTGGAGCCTCAGTTTTTATAGGCATTTGGGGATTAAACCAGTGAATGGAGAACCCTGTCTTTCTCTCTGCCTTTCAAATAAATAAAATAAGTAAATAAAAATGTCTCTAAGAAGTTCTACCTAGGAATGCCTTGTCCAAAAAAAAAAAAAAAAGTCGGATGAAAATAGCATAATCTAAAAAACATAAACCAAGGGCTGGCATTGTGGCATAGCAGGTAAAGTCACCGCCTGTGGCGCCAACAACACATATGGGTGCCAGTTAGAAACCTGACTGTTCCACTTCCAGTCTAGCTCTCTGCTAATGTGCCTGGGGAAGCAGAAGAGGATGGCCCAAGTACTTGGGCCCCTGCATCCACATAGGAAACCCAGAAGCTCCTGGCTCCTGGCTTCAGATCGGCCCATCTCTGGCTATTGCAGCCTTTTAGTGAGAGAACCAGCAGATGGAAGATCTCTCTTTACATCCCCCCCACCTTTTTAAAGATTTATTTAATTTATTTGAAAGACAAAGTGACAGAGAGAGGTAGAGACAGAGAGAGAGAGAGAGAGAGAGAGATCTTCCATTCACCGGTTCACTCTCCAAATGGCTGCAATGGCCAGTGCCAGACCAGTTTGAAGCCAGGAGCCAGGAGCTTCCAACAGGTCTCCTATGTAGGTGGCAGAGGCCCAAGCAGTTGGGCCATCCTCTGCTGCTTTTCCAAGCACATTAGCAGGGAGCTGGAATGGAAGTGGAGCTGCTGGGGCTTGAACTGGTTCCCATTTGTAGGCCAGGGCTTTAACCAACTACGCCACAGTGCTGGCCCCTCCCTCTCTCTTTTTGTAACTCTGCCTTTCAAATAAATAAATATTTTTTTTAAAAAAAGAACATAAACTGAATTCCACCAGCTTCTTAAAGCAGAATCTGCACATCTGGCAGTCATCCAACAAAGATTTGCATTTGTAAAATGGAGGTTAATACTGTATACTCCATTGAGCTGTTCCAAAGATTAAATGAGAAAACATTTATGAAAGCACTCAGTTCCTGTATTTTGCCAAGTATTAAGTGCTCAGAAGATTGTGGAGTCTGAATAAATAGACGCCAAGGGCACCAAGCAGCCTGTAGGAGTGACCGGGTCTCGAGATGAATTGTGCCTTGAGACTGATGAATGTTCTGTGAAGCAGTTCTATTAATAGAATCCTAAGGAAAGGGAATTACTACTGTGTTTAACTTTCCATCTGAGCAGGGAAGCTGGAAAAAAAAAGCATTTATATCAGCTGATGAGTCTCATTTCAAATTCATGACCTGCTGCCTTGTGAGAGGCATTACGGGACTGTTCCCTGGTCCGTCCACTCAGACGCCCCTAGAATGTTTCATCCCACCTTCGCCCTTCTCTCCCTTAGTACTCTCCGCTCATCCTCTTGGATGATGACCTTGACCTTGTTACTTATTTTACTTCAAACACAGAGGCAGTTATGGTGGGCCTTCCACATGTTCCCAGCTGCCCCCATCTGGAGCCATACGCTCTGGCTTCCCTATGTAACCGGATGACCTGCTCTACACAGCGCCTGTTCAAGGCCGCTCCTCCGCTTGTGCATTCGATCTCCTCCTTCCTTTTCATCCCAGCAGTGATTCTCTTTCTCCAGAAGTTTTCTTTCTCTGCTGGATCATTTCCATGAGAATATAAATACTCTGCGATTTCTACCATCTTCAGTAAAATCTTGTGACCTCATAATACCCTAAAGCTACTCCATTCTCCCTGCTATGGTTTTGGTGTGTCCCCTGTAATTCACATGTGGGAAACCTGATCCCCAAAGTCATGTGTCAATAGTTTATGGAGGTGAGGCCTTTGGGAGGTAATTAGGATTAGATGAGGTCATGAGGGCAGGGACCTCATGGTGGCATTAATGGCTGTACACCAGAAGCAGAGGCTGGCCCTGGCCCTGGCGTTGTAGCATAACTGATTAAGCTGCTGCCTGAGATGCCAGCATCCCATGTAAACACATGGTTGAGTCCTGGTTGCTCCACTTCCAACCCAGCTTCTTTCTAATGTGGCTGGGAAAACAGCAGAAGATGGCCCAAGTACTTGGGCCCCTGCCATCCACAGAGGAGAGCCAGATAGAGTTCCTGACTCCTGGCTTCGGCTTGGCTCAGTCTTTGCTGTTGCAGCCATCTGGGGAATGAATCAGGGATGGAAGATCTGTCTTTCCCTGTGTCTGTGTACCTCTGCCTTTCAAGTAAAATAAATACATCTTAAAAAAAAAAAAAAAGCTCTTGATCCTCTTCCTATCACCTGTTTCCTCTTCCTATCACCTGTTCCCACTGCTATATTTTCCACCTCAGGACATGGCAATTCCATTTATTCAGTTTCTCAAGCCAATGCTTGGAAGTTGTCCATGACTCCTCGCCTCACAATATCACTTATCCAAACAAATCATGTTGGTCATAGCTTGAAAATATACCCAGAATCTGGGGCTGGCGTTATGGTATAGAGAATTAAGGAGCCACCTGCAGCACCAGCATCCCATAAGGGTGCTGATTCGCTCCACTTCTGATCCAGCTCCCTGCTAATGCACCTGGGAAAGTAGTGGAGAATGGCTCAAGAGTTTGAGCCCTTGCACCACATGGGAGACCTGGAAGAAGCTACCAGCTCTTGGCTCCTGGCTTCAGTCTGGCCCAACTCCAGCCATTGTGGCCATTTGGGGAGTGAACCAGCAGATGGAAGATTCTCTCTCTCTCTCTCTCTCTCTCTCTCTCTCTCCTCTCTGTAACTCTGCCTTTCAAATAAAAAATAAATCAAACTTACGTATCCAGAAGCTGACCACTTACCACCTCCTGTGCCACCATGCTGATTTAAGATATGATCATCTCTTGCTTGGATTTCTACAATAACCTCCTGATGCCTCTTTTGTGCAAATCAAAGGTCTCCAGTGGCTTTCCAACTCACTGCTAGTAGAAGTCAAATTCCTTGAAAAGACTCCAGAGGCCCTACACAATATGCCTCACCCCTCGTTAGCTCTGATCTCATCTCTGTCCATCTTTCCTCCTTCTCTCTTCACTTAAGCTATATTGGTCTTTTTTTTTTTTTTTTTTTTTTTTTACAGTTAGAGTGGATAGTGAGAGAGAGAGACAGAGAGAAAGGTCTTCCTTTTGCCGTTGGTTCACCCTCCAATGGCCGCCACGGCTGGCACACTGCGGCCGGCGCACCGCGCTGATCCGATGGCAGGAGCCAGGAGCCAGGTGCTTTTCCTGGTCTCCCATGGGGTGCAGGGCCCAAGCACTTGGGCCATCCTCCACTGCACTCCCTGGCCACAGCAGAGAGCTGGCCTGGAAGAGGGGCAACCGGGAAAGAATCCGGCGCCCTGACCGGGACTAGAACCCAGTGTGCCGGTGCCGCTAGGCAGAGGATTAGCCTAGTGAGCTGCGGCGCCGGCCTATATTGGTCTTTTGCTATTCCCCAAACAGGCTAGTCACACTTCTACTCTGGGGCCCTTGAAGCTCTTACCCCAGGAATCCGCAACCCTTACTTGCTCATCTCTGTCAGCTCTTTGCTCATATGTCATCCTTCATTCCTCCATATCTTTTTTCTTAAGATTTATTTAATTACTTGAGAGGCAGAGTTACAGACAGAGAGAGGGAGAGACAGAGGTCTTTCACACATTTTTCACTCCCCAAATGGCTGACACAGCTGGAGCTGGGCCAATCCAAAGCCAGGAGCCAGTAGCTTCTTCTGGGTTTCCCACATACGTTTAGGGGTCCAAGCACTTGGGCCATCTTCTGCTTTCCCAGGCCATTAGAGGGAGCTGGATCAGAAGTGGAGCACCTAGAACTCAAACCAGTACCCATATGAGATGTTGGCAGCGCAGGCAGTTGCTTAACCATCTATGCTACAGCGCTGGCCCCTGTATTCCTCCATTTCTACTCCAGCGCTCACTCTTCCCTTCTATGCCTTTTCTCCATAGCACTCATCACCATCTATCAGGGTAGACATTTCCTTCCTTCCTTCCTTCCTTCCTTCCTTCCTTCCTTCCTTCCTTCCTTCCTTCCTTCCTTCCTTCCTTCCTCTCTCTCTCTCTCTCTCTCTCTCTCTCTCTCTCTCTTTCTTTCTATAATCTAACAGGTGGAGTTAGAGAGAGAGAGAGATAATCTATCTGCAGATTCACTCCCAAATGGCCACAACAGCCAGGGCTCAGCCAGGCCAAAGTCAGAAGCCCGGAACTCCATCCTGGTCTCCCATGTGTGTGCAGGGGTCCAAGTACTTGGGTCATCATCTGCTGCATTCCCTGGCACATTAGCAGGGAGCTGGATTGGAGGTGAAACGGGCAGGACTTGGGCAGGCACCATATGGGATGCTGGCATACTTGGTGGCTTAACCCACGGCATCACAATGCTGGCCCCTTGTTTCTTTGTGTATGTACTAGAATTTAAGTTCAGTGGGGACAGGGTTTGTTTGCTCTGTCCTCAACATTTTCCCTAGCATAATTAAATATTTATTGAATGCTTTTAGATGACTTTTCTTCGGCTATCTGATCTCAAGATCCACTTCTTCAAATGACAAGTGAATGTACCAGGTCACAGGAGAGCTTGAGAACGACTAAGAGGGCTAAGGGCGTGGTGTCTTAGTACTTCCATGGATATCTAATATTCTGATTTTTTTTTTCTAGCTTAACACTAAAACATCCCCAACAACCAACCAGGCACCTGGCCCAGAGGAAAAAGGTGAGTAGGGTTGGGTGAAGCAATTTGCAGACTGGGGGAATGTAGGGATGTGAAGACAAGTCTAGAAGCTCCTCAAGTTACACGTGAAAGGAATAAGAATGTGGGTAAGTGAAACAAAGAACTAGGTTAGAATCACTTTATCTATGTACTTCTTTTCCCTTTTAAAAAAAGGGAAAGTTTGAAAAATGGGGAAGGAGGAAGTAAACATATAACTATACTTAAAAAAAGGTTTGCTTATTTATTTAAAAGGCAGAGTTATAGATCGAGAGGGAGAGACAGAGAGGGAGAATCTTCCATCTGTTGGTTCACCACCCTAATGGCCACAACTGCTGAAGCTGGACCAGGCTGAAGCCTGGAGTCAGGAACTTCACCCAGGTCTCCCACAGGGGTGGCAGGAGTCCAGATACTTGAGCCATCTTCTGCTGCTTTGCCCAGCCCATTAGCAGGGAGCTGGATGGGAAGCGGAGCAGCTGGGATGCCCATATGGGAGACCGGCATGCAGGCGGTGGCTTAACCTGCTACGCCACAACACTGGCCCCAACCTGCCAGTATTTACCCCTTGATTTTAGAAATTGGGTCTGGAATGATTGGGGACGCAGGTACAATGATAAGAAGAATCCCATTCGATAATCCCAACTGGCTCCACCTGAGATAGAAGGAAACTAGGGAAGGTGAGTGTACTTTAGGGCCTGAACTGTAGGATTTAGTTAAAAGTGATGATAGAAGACATTTGCCTTCTGGTCCAAAGTAGCAAAGCTCCCCTGAGTAACAAAATAACTCCCGGCCTAGCTGCCCTGACTCGAACTTCCAGGAGTGTTATTAGGCGTTCGTAGTCCTAGCAAGGATTAGAAGTCCAGGCACAAATGGGCCTTCACTGCTGTATTTGGGGGCTGGAGAAAGGGGCTGCCGCAAGTCGGGTGAACTTGCTAATGAGTCTTCCAACAATCTACAGGGAAAGCTGGCCATGCCAAGAAAGCTGAAGAGGAAGAAGAGATTGACATTGATCTGACAGCACCAGAGACAGAGAAGGCTGCCCTTGCTATTCAGGGCAAGTTCCGGCGATTCCAGAAAAGGAAAAAGGATCCCAGTTCCTGAGTGGCCAGCCTTGCCCTTCATCCTGTTCCCTTTGCTCCTCTTCTCCACAGCCCTAGGTCCGATGTGTTTTTGTCTCCTTCTCCCCGTAGCCCCTCAGTGAGGCAAGTTCAGCTCTTATACGTTATTTTCTTTGGCACCCTTACCCCATCACAGCAGCAGAGGCACAAAGAATGTATGGAACATGAGGACTTCAGTTGACACCCACTTGCCTAATGGCAGTTTCTTCTCAAGATAAGGCTCCTTGATCAGTATCTATCTCTGCCCTGTGGGTTTGAAGAACAACGAACAGGCTTTGAGGCTGAGATGGGGGCTCCCCCAACAAGGTGGGGAGGAAGGAGTCTTCAGAGTAGGGTGCCTGGGTGGCGCATGCACTGTTCTGCCAGTTACAACAGTCACACTTTAGGTAACATGTACCTTCTCCTTCAACTCTTTCTGCACCACTACCTCCCACTTCCTTCCCATGAGCAAAGCCACAGTGGGGACTGGAACCTCCCTTTCCCCCTAAGCAGACCCAAACCAAGCAGCTTGACCACAGTAATGCATGCTGGGTAGAGCAGTCCCTAGGAAAGGAGACTGGGGCTGGTTAAGGCAAGGAAGGGTTTTAGCCTAGGACCATAAGAGGCAGAGACAGACAAGTTCCAGAGGCCACAGGCAGGGAGATGAGAGGTAAGGGAGCTCTAGGGAGGAAAGAAAAATTAAGGGGACATCTCGGAAGCCACAAGAGTTCCTGCTGGTAAATGCACGACCTGAAGGGTTCTTGGGGCTTTGCTAACCTGCCTACCTCCAGAACCCGCCCCAAGTCTACCGTCCCCAGCGGCCACACAAACCAGGTGACTCCTGTAGTTCCCACCTGCCCATGGTGAAGTCAGGGCAGAAATGGAATAACCACTTTGTGATTTGAGCATGTTTAATAAGTGTAACAATAATAATAATAAAAAAACTCAGATGGGATCATTTAGCCTCTACGAATGTTTTTTTCTTGGGAAGAGTACACATGTAAGGCCGAGCTGAGGGTGGCAGAGGGACTGTGTGGATTCTGTGGTGGCCCAGGGAATTAACCATGTCTGAGCGATTGCAGGCAGAAGCCGACCCTATCTTCCTCCCTCTGCCCTTGCTCTCACCTTGACCTGCCACCCACATCGTCTGTCTCTGCAGCTGTCACCACCCAGAGTGTGCACCTGCGAGTGTGCTCATCTTCTCTTTCTCCTTCCAGCGGACAGAGTGCTTGGTACATATCCCTCTGGAGGCAAACCTACCTTTGCTCCCTATTCCCAAATGCCCTATCTTAGAGTTCCCTCCTGCTTTGGCTTCTTCCTGTAGTCTCCTCTCCCCTCGCACCATGTGTCAAACTGAAGACAAGGAGAAGATAATTCTGGTCCCTAAATAGTACACTGTGAACGCTGAAGAGTTTAAAAACATTATAAAATTATGTATTTATATTTATTTATTTGACAGAGAGCAAGCGAGCTCCTACCCTCTGCTTCACTCCCCAGATGCCTGCAACAACTGGGGTTGAGCTGGGCTGAAGCTGGGAGCTGGGAGCGCATTCCAAATCTCCCAGGTGGGTGACAGGAACCCAATTACTTATGCCATCACCTGCTGCCTGCTAAAAATTAACAGGAAGTTGGAGTCAGGAGTCGAGCTGGGGCTTAAACTTAGGGACTCAGGGCCGGTGCTGTGGCGCAGCGTGTAAAAGCCCCAGCCTGCAGTGCCAGCATCCCATATGGACGCTGGTTCGAGTCCTGGCTGCTCCACTTCTGATCCAGCTCTGTGCTATGGCCTGAGAAAGCAGTAGAAGATGGCCTAAGTGCTTGGGCCCCTGCACCTGTGTGGGAGACCTGGATGACGCTCCTGGCTCTTGGCTTTGAATTGGCATAGCTCCAGCTCTTGCGGTCATTTGGGGGAGTGAACCAATGGAATGGGAGACCTCTGTCTTTCTGGCTCTACCTCTCTCTGCAACTCTGTCTTTCAAATAAATAAAATAAATCTTTAAAAAATAAGTAAATAAACTGGCCGGCGCCACGGATCAGTAGGCTAATTCTCCACCTAGCGGCGCCGGCACACCAGGTTCTAGTCCTGGTCGGGGTGCCGGATTCTGTCCCGGTTGCCCCTCTTCCAGGCCAGCTCTCTGCTGTGGCCAGGGAGTGCAGTGGAGGATGGCCCAAGTGCTTGGGCCCTGCACCCCATGGGAGACCAGAATAAGTACCTGGCTCCTGCCATCGGATCAGCGCGGTGCGCCGGCTGCAGCGTGCTGGGGGCGGCGGCCATTGGAGGGTGAACCAACGGCAAAAGGAGGACCTTTCTCTCTGTCTCTCTCACTGTCCACTCTGCCTGTCAAAATAAATAAATAAATAAATAAATAAGTAAGTAAGTAAATAAACTTAGGTACTCTACTATGGGAACGGAGTCCCAACTGCTGGCTTTAACTGCTACACCAAATGTTCACCCCACACTAAAGATTTTAAACTATGAATTAAATAAAGCAATGGCTTTCAAATGAGCTTACATTGCTGAGAAAATATCTTTGTGTTGAAACTAGAAGCCAAAAATCTTCACTATTTGCCTCACTTTTTTTCCAGTTTTTAAAAAAGATTTTTAGGGCCGTTGCCGTGGCTCACTTGGTTAATCTTCCGCCTGCGGCGCCGGCATCCCATTTGGGCACCAGTTCTAGTCCCGGTGGCTCCTCTTCCAGTCCAGCTCTCTGCTGTAGCCCAGGAGGGCAGTGGAGGATGGCCCAAGTGCTTGGGCTCCTGCACCTGCATGGGAGACCAGGAGGAAGCCCCTGGCTCCTGGCTTCGGATTGGCGCAGTGCCGGCTGTAGCGGCCGGCCATTTGAGGGGTGAACCAATGGAAGGAAGACCTTTCTCTCTGTCTCTCTTTCTTTCACTGTCTAACTCTACCTGTCAAATAAAAACAATTTAAAAAAATATTTTTAAATTTATTTGAAAGGCAGAGTTACAGAGAGAGAAGGAGAGACAGAGAGACAGAGATCCATCCCTTGGTTCATGCCCCAAATGGCCTCAACAGCTGAGGCTCAGTCAGCCTGAAGTCAGGAGCTAGAAGCTTCTTCTCGGCCTCCTAAGTGGGTGGCAGGGGCCCAAGGGCTTGGGCCATCTTCTGCTGCTTTCTCAGGAACATTAGTAGGAAGCTGGATAGGAAGTGGAGCAGTCGGGACTCAAACCAGCACACATATTGGATACTGGCACTGCAGGCAGCAATTTAACCCACTGTGCCACAGTCCCAACTCCTCCAATTTATTTTTTTTTAATTTTTTTTGACAGGCAGAGTGGACAGTGAGAGAGACAGAGAGAAAGGTCTTCCTTTGCCATTGGTTCACCCTCCAATGGCCGCCGCCCTCGGCGCGCTGCGGCCGGTGCACCGTGCTGATCTGATGGCAGGAGCCAGGTACCTATCCTGGTCTCCCATGGGGTGCAGGGCCCAAGCACTTGGGCCATCCTCCACTGCACTTCCTGGCCACAGTAGAGAGCTGGCCTGGAAGAGGGGCAACCGGGACAGAATCCGGCACCCCGACCAGGACTAGAACCTGGTGTGCCGGCGCCGCAAGGCGGAAGATTAGCCTAGTCAGCCGCGGCGCCGGCCTCCAACCCCTCCAATTTAAAAAAAAATGATTTTAAGCTGCAGCGCGCCGGGGGCGGCGGCCATTGGAGGGTGAACGAACAGCAAAGGAAGACCTTTCTCTCTGTCTCTCTCTCTCACTGTCCTCTCTGCCTGTCAAAAAATAAATTAATTAAAAAAAGGAAAAAATTATTTTATTTATTGGAGAGGTAGGGTTACAGAGAGAGACAGAGAGATAAAGAAAGGTCTTCCATCCGCTGGTTCACTCCCCAGATGGCTCCAATGGTCGGTGCTGAGCTGATCCAAAGCCAGGGCCAGGAGCTTTTTCTGGATCTCCCATGTGGGTGCACTTGAGCCATCCTCTCCTGCTTTCCCTGGCCATAGAAAGAAGAGAGCTGGATTGGAATAGGAACAGCTGGGACACAAAGTCGCCCCCTTATAGGATGCCAGCCCTGCAGGTGGAGGTTTAACCTACTGCACCACAGCGCCGGCCCCTCCAATTTTTTATTGTGGTAAAATATATCTAACAAAATTTACCATCTGAACTATTTTAAAGGTTATAGTTCAATAGTATTAAATACATTCATGTTTGCAAGCACCACTATTCGTCTCTGTAGCTCTAATCCTCTTATAAAAGTGGGACTTTGGTTCCGGCATCCGTATGGGCACCGGTTCTAGTCCCAGTTGCTCCTCTTCCAGTCCAGCTCTTTGCTGTGGCCCAGGAAGGCAGTGGAGGAGGACCCAAGTGCTTGGGCCCTTGCACCTGCATGGGGAGACCAGGAGGAAGCACCTGGCTCCTGGCTTCGGATTGGTGCAGCTCCGGCCGTAGCGGCCATTTGGGGGGTGAACCAACGGAAGGAAGACCTTTCTTTCTGTCTCTCTCTCTCACTGTCTATAACTCTATCAAATAAAAAAAATAAAATAAAAGTGGATCCTTTCTATAGTCTCTCTCTCCCATCCCCACTTTTCCACCATTCTACTCTTCCTTTATGATTTTCCCTCATTTCTTAATACTTGCCCTTCCCTTTTTTAAAAGGAATTTTTTTTTTGACAGGCAGAGTGGACAGTGAGAGAGAGAGACAGAGAGAAAGGTCTTCCTTTGCCGTTGGTTCACCCTCCAATGGCCGCCGCGGCCGGCGCACTGCGGCCGGCGCACCGCGCTGATCCGATGGCAGGAGCCAGGAGCCAGGTGCTTTTCCTGGTCTCCCATGGGGTGCAGGGTCCAAGCACCTGGGCCATCCTCCACTGCACTCCCTGGCCACAGCAGAGGGCTGGCCTGGAAGAGGGGCAACCGGGACAGAATCCGGCGCCCCGACTGGGACTAGAACCCGGTGTGCCAGTGCCGCTAGGCGGAGGATTAGCCTATTGAGCCGTGGCGCCGGCCCAGGAATTTATTAATACATTAGATCCTCAGGGTCACAGCAAATGCATGATAATTACTACAACACAATTCTCGTGTTAATGTGCTAATACAAAGAACAGATTCATTGTAGTTCATAAATACAATTCTAAGAATCTAATGATACTTTCCTTCCTCCCTCCCAACCTCCTTTGCTCTTGGCTTCTTGGTTCCAGAATACAGAAGTGCAAACCATGTAGCAGCTGTGGCTAGAAACAAGAGACATGATCCCTGGAAAGCAATCTATATCCCAAAGTTGAGCTGTGCAGAGCAATCCCATGGCTATAGGATATAAGGAGAATTGAATAATAAGTAATTCACGGGCAAAGCTTGTGTTAAAGGAAATACTTCCTCCTCCTGATGCCAGACGAGAGGAGGAAGCTTTACTCTTATATTTGGAATCTATTCTGAGTACAGCATAGTTCTGATGGAGGCCTCTAGACCTAGCCTCATAGACAAATAAAGAGAATCTCATTGCCACGCCTGGCATGTGTCCAATGTATGAATCAAGAGTATTCCCTATGGGAATAGGAGAGGAGGAGGAAGAAGGCTGGGAGCATAGGGACGGAGGAGGGTCGGGTGGGAAGTGTCACTCTGTTCCTAGATCTGCATATGTGAAATACATGAAATTTGTATACCTTAAATAAAATTAAACACACACACACACACACACACACACCCTACGCCACACGAGCAAGGGTATTTCCTATTCCCTCCATCCATGGACTCCAGGTGAGAACTCACTGGTGTTGCACCTTGGTCCTCCCCATGGACACTTAGGTACTGTAGGCTCCCTGTTCCTGGTGTGTGGGCTTGTGAGAGGTGGCTGATGCTACGGCAATGGCTGAGTTCTCTGTCACCGGCCCCTCTCCTGGAGATGCTGTTGCATGGAAGATATCTGCCGATTTGGATTTTGCCACACTGATCTGAGCTGTGCATTGCTTTGCACTGAGCATAGTGCCAAAATGATTTTTCCCTC